ATCTATTTCTTCGTACTTAATCTCTTTTTCTTTTTTTCTTTTTCCTTTTTCTTTTTTTTTTTGTCTTCTTCTTCTTTTTTTGCGGCTTCCTTTTGAAAGGCAAAGTACTTAGCCCCTTAGCTCGTGCCCCCTTCCGGTTTTGACTTAATTTTATTTATAGGATTTATATTATCTCAACCAATTCTTTAAAATATTCGAAAGAGTAAAAAACACACGAGTAATAATTACACAAATCTATATTATTATATATATTATTATTAATATTATATATTATATTATTTATGTATTATATTAATATATATATATATAATTAATCGAGACAATTGTTAGAAGAAAAGGAAAAATATCAAAATTAAAATATAATCGATCAAAAATCATGATCAGATAGATTAGAATTTTTCTTGAAAGCAAGCACGTGGTCGATCTATCCGCGTTGATTACTATATATCTCTCTCTTTCTTTCTTCTTAACTTCATCCTACACACCTGGAGCATTTCCAAGATTTTGACGAAAATACTTTGAACGTTTAGGCGTCCCACCGCGAGAATACCTTCGGGCACCTGTAGGATGCGTGTCGTTTGCCGGAAGAAAAACATCGACGAATAAACAAAAAAAAATAAAACTAGCAGAGAAAGAAGAAGAAGAAGAAGAAGAAGAAGGAAAATTCGTTTAGCGTTAGGTGTGTAAAAATAAAAAAAGGTTCTCTAAACGTGGTTATAAAACACCGATGAAAAAAACTTATCACGCCCGTTGATACACGAATAATAAACATGGTTGTTCGTGAACGATGACGATACACTACACTACACACCCACTCGTACATCCGTTTTGGCAAAGACTCGGAATTGCGTCAACGAGAATATACTATACTAAAGAATAAGATACTCGTGACTTTATTTTCGATACGTTTAAGCTACGTCGTCGATACGCGTGCTCGATCATGATGCCGATTCTACTTTGGACACCTGTTAGTTAGCTCGACGAATGATACAATCTCTTAAAATAATCTACGAGAAGGTAAACAACTTATTTTTTCGGGAGAAATATACAATTTCAATATAATTATTATTAGAATTATTTTTGATATTGATTAAGGAACTATATAACAGAAGTTAATTAAATAATTAAAATTATCCTATGTTTATACATAAAAGGAACAAAAAACACTGGTTAAGAAGTTATACTTCTTTTGTGTATATATAACAAAACAAAAGAGCAAATAATTAATCTTTAACAATAATAATATATATATATATACAATTCTTTGATGTATTTCATGTATGTTTTATATTAATGTTACAGCTTCATCTTATACTAAATATAAAAATATATATATAATATAAAAATATTATATTTGCAACAAATTCCAATAGTTTATGGTGTAACAGCACTATACAAAGAGCTTTTAACTTTAATTTAATGTTCAGGAATTCAATCAAACACGTGAACAATACACCAAGCTGGTTATAACGCGACTAACTTCATGCTGTTAATTTCATACCGCTGTGCGCGCGCATCGTTAATACCGAGACTAACTTCATTCTGTTAATTTCGTGTCGCTGTACTGCACGCGCATCGTAGGAATTCACTCTCGTCATTTGTTTCCCTAACGCGTCAAAAGAATTATAACTTCTAAAATCATACTGCATTATAAAATGTTAAATGTATGATTTATAATTATTATAGGAGACCTAAAAGTAATGTAATTTCCTTTATTACATTAAATTTAAACGCGTCTCTTTGAAATATTATACAATACTCTATATTTAATATTATTAATAATAAATTATTATTAATATTATTATAATATATTATAGAACTGTTAATAAATGTGATCCCCATAACAAATATATTTTTATAATCCCTATAGATAAACGCATATGTATATTAAACCATACACTTGAAATAATGTTTTAGAAAAAAAGAAACGAAATAATTCGCAATCGAACTAAATAATGATTTTAATAAAAAAATAATCAGGGAACGTGTTAGTAGCGTTGATCTTTAAAAAATGAAAAGTCGTAAGCAAGCAAGGAGAACGTCGGTTTCTATCTCGTAGAAGAAAAAGAAGATGAAGAAGAAGAAGAAGGTGGTAGAGAGACAGATATAACGGGTATGTATGTATGTTCTTCTCCTCGTTCGTGTCTTTGGTGGCTGTAGGAGAGGATAGAAGAAGCAGGTTGGTGCGCTGGGTGGTTCTTCTGGCATGACGCCAGGCGTCCGCCGAATTTAGCACCGCGACGCTGACTAACTCGCGTGGCATTCATTCAATAGTCGACTAAAAAGCTCCCTGCCAGCCCCTCGTCCCGCCCCTTAATGCCTTCCTTGCATACTCCATTCTTTCGAGAACTACGATAGGAACGTTATATTCGTCAAAAACATTTACATTGTCCGTACGTTACACTCGAATTATTTTTCTTTTTAACTTATTCGACTGTTATCCAAAATGGCTGCTCAATTGCATTCTTTATCAATTATATACGAGTTAGATTTATTATTACAGTTAAACTTTAATTTCAATTTACTACGATACAATCTTAACCTAAAACTAATATTTAATTAATATGTATATATTTTAAATGAATAATTAAATAGAAATAAATAATTATCTATGAGATAAAATAAATGTACATTTATCGTGGGATTTGGATACTTCAATTTCAACTTCAATTTCAATTTACTACGATACAATCTTAAACAAGAACTAATATCTAATTAATATGTATATATTTTGTTTGAATTAATAAATAGAAATAAATAATTATCTATCAAATAAAATAACTATGAGTTTATCGTAAGATTTGGGATTTAAATTTGAAGGGATAGTATATTTTAAAATGTTAACTGCTCGATTTAATATGATTTAAAGTATGGATGGCGCATGTTTGGTGGCATGCTTGAAAATACAACATTTTGCCAAAGCATTTGCTTGCTTGCTTGGTTACTTGGTTACTTGCTTGCTATCACTTGACGCACACAACGGGATTGAAAAAGAAAGAAAAAGAAAATGAGAGTTAGAGTGTGTGTGAGAGAGAGAAAGAAGGAGAGAAGAGTTCTATTTTGAACGGAAGAACGATCGGTGTGCCAGACAAACGCGAGATCTACCTTTTTATCTCGTTCTTTCGATCACGAACCTAACACAAGAGCAACACGTTGTTACATTTTCTTGATATAAGTATACAAATAATTATTTTATCTCTTACAATTGGTTAACTGTAATACTGTCGTTTGTTTTTTCGGTTATTCTTTTCCAAATCAGTTTCCTTTTGCACAAATCTCTTATTAAAGAATAAATCAAATTAGGTTTATACTTATAATAAATAAACACGATCACATCGTGTGTGATTATTATTAAATTGTGTTATTCATTTCAATTTGAATTGAGATGAAAATCTAGAACAGAATAGGATCAAATTTCAATTCCTGTATTCTTGTACGAACTTACATGTTTCTTGGAATTTGAGGAGACATTTGCAACTACCGATGACCGTACCTCTCCTGGAAGTATCACTCGTCTCTTCTCTACGGCAAAAAGCTCATCTGTGTATACTTGTGTACGTGTGTGTGCGTGTCTCGATGAATCATACATCCCACTAGCTTTGCTGCATTACTTTTGACTTTGTTTTTTCTGTTTTTTTCAAGTTATAGTATCACTACTTTTCTTCATTTTCGAAAGTTAAAGTTAAGCTGTATGGGAAGAGAGAGAGAGAAGAAAAAATCTATCTTGTTTTTCTATTCATACATTGGACCCCCGTAAAAGTTAATGAGCTTGAGCGCGTGCCATCGATTCAACTTAGAAGGGACGGCCCTTTTTATCTTTTTCTTTCCGACCCTTTTCCGGGTGATCTCTAAAATCCATTTGAAAAATTTTCTTTCTATTTTATTGGTTCTTTTTTTCTGTTCTTTTTTTTCTACATTGATTTTAAATTATTACGATGATGTTTTTCGAGGTTTAAGAATAAATAAAATTCATTATTAGTGTCGCGTTTTATTTTTATAATAATTATCTTTTTTTAAATAACGTCATTATCGCAATGACCGAGAACAATAATTTCATAATAGAAACATCGATCGATTATGGGGGATAGCATTGTGACCTTTATGAACAATTTACAGCAATGCATTCTCTGACATTTTATGAAGTTTACATGCTAAATTTATAATTCGATATAGTATTCTACGCGTAGACAAAAGAGTGTACTTTAATTTAATATAAGTTTCATTAAAATCTATTCACTTTTAGCATAAAAAATATTTACTTAAACTTTTCAAAAAAATGGCAAAGATGCACAATTTACAGCATTCCATTCTCTGACATTTTAAGAACATTTGCAGATCGATTTAGAACTCGAAAAAGTATTCTACAAGTAGACAGAAGAGTGTACTTTAATTTATGTATAATTTACTATGTAATTATGATTCCGAAGTAGAACAAAATATAATTTGATAGTACTCATCTAGATTATTAGAAAAAAATAAATACAAAAAACGAATTACAGCGAAATCTATAGGAAAAGAAAACCAATTTGATTCGGCGAAACGTTTACAACCTAATTATTTCAGCAAAATATATATATATGAATCTTCAATAATTCAAAGAAAAAGAAAAAAAATCTACGATCGTACTTTTTTCTTCTTTTAAAAATACATATTTCCACATTAACGTGGGGTACGTACACCACCCTTCTTCGATCCTCGATATTTTTATCTATCCCAAGCGTGCTATTAATTATCTCTCGCTTCTATTTAATGACACGAACTTCCAACACCGGAACAAAGATACAAAAAGGAACGAAAAAAGAAACAAGAAAAAAGTAAATAAAAAAGAAAAAGAAAGACAGAGTGTGAGTGAGTGAAAAAAACGTGTGGACAATTTTATTCGAGGTCGGACAAGTCTCGTATAAATAATCCCTTCGATCATTCCATCAATAATAATAACAACAACGAGATAAAAATTAAAAAAAAAATAAAAAATAATAATAATAGAGAAAATGTAGGAGAGAAAAAAAGAAGAAGAAGAAAAAAAGTGATCGCCTACGCGATATAAAACTGATTAACAATATTAAAATTAATATAACAACAAGGGGTTAGGTACTTCGTAGAAGAATAATAATGTTAGTAGAGAAAGAAGCAGCTTATCCTAGCTGATCATCATCATTGGTCCATTATATATTTCCCTTAGCATCTCGTATAGTTATGTGCACAACTCGAAGAATTTATTATACATTTGAAACGCTATAAATGTGGAGGATTCGCGTATTATAGTGAAGAAAACGTACTACACACTATTTAAATCTACATATATCTATACATACACTGAACGGAAGGGGCCCAGGGGGCAGGGGGTACACGTATATGCACAGATGTGTGATCGTATGAGGGAACAGAACGCTTGCAACTACTCGCCAGCTGAACCAGAAGAAGAAGAAGAAGAAGAAGAATAAGAAGAAGATGATGAAGAAGAAGTGGTGGTGGTGATGGTGGTGGTGCTGCTGCTGCTGCTGGTACTAGAAGAAGAAGAAGAAGAAGAAGAAGAAGGTAAAGAGGTTGTGGAAAAGGGGAAGAGTGGAGTAAGGGAGGTGTTACGCTCCTATATGTAGCCCCGAAACTTAGCCAGAGGAACTATTGCGCCCGAAATTGCCGAGGCGTACGCACCCCTGGGGCCCCCCTCACCCCACCCCCGCCCCGTCGCCGTAAAAAACAACGCGCGTGAAGAAGAAGATTTTCCTTTCAATTCTTTTCTCTTTTTTTTTTTTTTTTGGTTTTTTGTTTTTCCCGTCGTAACGCGAAAATTCTGTTCTTTCTTTTTTTTTTCGGTTTACGCGTCGTCATCCAACGCCCCCTTTTTTATTTCCGAAGGATTTAATCCTTTATTTTTGTTTCTCCCCCTTTTTTTTAATAATTATATCTTTTACTTTGATTATATACTTTGATTACGTTTCTATTTCTTTTTTTTTTTTGATTCGGGATCATTTTTATTGGAAAAGAAACTTAAAAATTCGCGTGTGTTGCGTTCAATGTGTGGACAAGATTTTGATTGTTCAAAGTTGAGAGAAAGGCCAATCAATCATGTTTTGTGTGATACTTTGAGAAAAATATCAAGTGGTGAATAAGAAGAATAAGAAGAAGAAGAAGAAGAAGAAGAAGAGGTAGAAGAAGATAAGAAGAAGGGGAGGAAAAAAAGAAGATGCCGAGGGCTTTCCTGATCACTCATCGCCGATACAACGGCGTCGAGGAGGAGTTCGATACTTCTGCTGGAGGTGCGAATGTTTTTTATTTTTTTTTATAGTTTAATAACACGTCCAGGTAAGGGGTGAAAGAGGGAGACACTTTTTGTATATATCGAGAAAAAAAATCTTTGCACACGGTGAACATAACTTGGGATCAATATTTTCGAATAGTGTTAATACTTTCGTGCATAATTTTCATTCATTTTGTTTAATTTCAAAAGGGTTGTTTGACGTTTTGACGTATGTGAATGTTTGCTTCGTGAAATTCTTCTATATTGTTCAATTGGAAATAATAATTGAAAATAAATAGTCATTTGTCTCTCAAGATCAATTATTATATCATTTAAATTAAGACAAATTAAAGTATTCGTACAATTCGATAATTATTAACGTGAATGAAAAGTTAGTGTGCTTATTGTTTCGACATTTTACTTCGAAATTGTATATAATGGATTGTTTTCTTTTTGTTTTCTTTTTGTAAAATTTATTTTGGAAAAATTAATATATAAAAACGGTCTTTTGATTCATCTTAATAGTGGACAGAAAAATAACGTGCTTGTGTTTAATATTTTAAAGATTTAAGAATAAAATTCACAAATTGAAGCTTTCGTTCTACTTGATAAGTATAAAACAAAAGAATATAATCTTAGTTAACTATGAGTAAAGTAGTTTAAATCTTTTAATGATTGAAAAATAAGTTAAACAAATTAAAACTTTCGTGCTTATGTTTAATATTTTGAAGATTTTCAAGAGATATTTTGAATAAATTGAACAAATTGAAGCTTTCGTTCAACTTTGATAACTATAAGACAAAAGAATAATAGGCTTAAGTTTGCTATGAGTAAAGTGGTTTAAATCTTTTGAAGATTTAAGAATAGTAGATACTAGATGCGTCACAAAGTTCTTACGACGCATACCGTCGCGATGCCGTCAACCCCTCCAAAGCTCTTTACAAGCACAAGCAACACGCACACGCGTTCGAAAATACGCGGAATGAGCGAGAAAGAAGAGAGAGAGAGAAAATGAAGCACGCTATTTCCGTTCTCCCCAAAAACGGAGCTGCGAGCAAACTCTCGAAAGTGCTTGCTTGCTTGCTTTGCTTTGCTTTGCTTTGCCTGCGTGTTTCACGAACCATCATGAATTTACTGCTCGGATTTACTGCTCATAACCAAAATCCATTTGGTTGATATAAATCCGTGGAAAAAGCCCGTGTACCGCTCCGGAAACGATAAAACTCATCGAAAACTAACGTTAGAAACTTTCCAATGGCAATAAGAAAATCGAATATTCGAATTAAAAAATAATTAAACAATTAATGCAACATTATTTTATTTCACATTCTTCATTTCCCCTTTTTTTTATAAGTCTAAAGTAAATTCATTGGAAAGTATTTACTTCGAGTAATTTAATTCGACGTTAATTCAATGACGAGGAAAAACAAAAACCACCTGTAGAGTTTTGAAATGATCGATAAATCACACAGGAGTCAAGGATTTTTATTTGTAGAATAAAAGAGTGAAAAGGAAACTGTAAGTAATCTATCGTTATCAGGATTCTTTTTTATGTGTACCTCACGTTTACGTTGCTTCCGTTTCTTACTTTAACGCGAGAGATAGAAATAAAAGTATAGACAGGAAAAGTTTGTGATGCCGATAGGAATTTATACGAGTTCGAGACTCTTATTGGAAGTTTGCCAAACCAACTCGAGTATTGTTAACACTCGAGCTTTCAACGTTTCGATGCTAAACCATCGATACTATAATATGTTAGAGTACGTTGAACGCATGATACAAGGAACCTCAAAGATAATGTGTTACTAATATTTGAAGAAGATGATGAAAGACAACAACAAGAATATAACAAAATATCAAGATATTCATAGTTATTTAATATCAATTAAAACCTTATATAATCATTAAATAATTTTTATTTGTATCGAGATAATAAAACACGTGTGTGAATATAGATATCAATCTATACTAAATTTAAGGGAGATTTAGCGACTAACTTCATGCTGTTAATTTCATGTTTCTATGCGCGCGCATCCTAAATATCGGCTAACTTCATCCCGTTAAATTTCGTGTCGCTGTGGTGTACGAGAATCGTAAAAATATTCACTCCCATCATTTGTTTCCTTAACGTGGTAAAAGAAGTATATTATTCCAAAAAATATATATATATATTATTCTTTTTTTCTACACAGGTCAAAGTCCTGAACGAGGGGTTAGGTTAGCCGAATATGGCAGTGCCCAGCCTACTTCTGATGGTGCTAGCGAATGCGGTAGCGAGACCTCCTCGGAATGTCCTGAAGAATTGTACAACCTTACGAAACTTGCGGAAGTCAGCCTTGCTGCAGCAGCTGGTACCCTAATTCACCCAAACAATGTGATCTATCAACGATCAAGTTCACCGAGATTTAATGAACCCGTTGAAAAATGTGCTAGAACGATTGTACCCAGAATTAAGGATCATCATTATCACCACCACCATCATCATCATCATAATAATAACAATAATAATAATAATAATCTTCATCATCAGCCCCAACGAATTCAGGAACGGCGAACAACTACTTACGAGGAAAAACAAAGCTTGGAAAAAACTAGATTATTCTTGGAGAGTATAGAAAATGAACAAGAGGTACTTGGAATTAAAAGACTGTCGCCACATCATCAACGTCTTCATCATAGAAATCATAATAATAATAATAATAATCAAACACATCATACACGGGAAGAAATTACTTTCCCTACGGAAAAGAAAATTGATTCACCACCAAAATCAAATAATAATGTCAGTGAATCGAATCCCGTTAATCAACAATCACGTCGAACAACTATTCAGGGTAACGTGGAAACGACAAAAAACGAGGATAGCGAGGATCACGAGTGTCCTGATTGTGGTAAAAAGTATTCTACATCGTCAAATCTTGCCAGACACAGGCAAACTCACAGATCACTGGGTGACAAGAAGGCAAGGAGGTGTCCCCATTGCGACAAGGTTTATGTCAGCATGCCTGCCTTCAGTATGCACGTTAGGACACATAATCAGGGTTGCAAGTGTCACTATTGTGGCAAGTGCTTTTCCAGGCCATGGTTGCTTCAAGGACACATACGCACGCACACAGGTAATTCGATCGATATTTAAATCTAAACCTAACCTCAAAAAATCAAACAAAATCATCATCCTCTAACTATTTATTCTTTTTGTTCTCTTTATTTTATCTTATCGACGATAGGTGAGAAACCGTTCAAATGCACGATATGTAACAAAGCGTTCGCCGACAAATCGAATCTACGTGCACACATACAAACCCATTCTAACACGAAGCCCCATGTGTGCGGTAGATGTGGTAAAGCGTTTGCTTTGAAATCATATTTATACAAACACGAAGAATCTTCTTGCATGCGAGCTCATAATCATCATCATCATCGGTCTACAATCGAGAAGAACGAATCTAGCGAACGAAAGACGAATTCTATTAATTCATCATCGACAACGTCTGGTAAAACGAACGAGCCCGTATCAACGGTTTTGGATGGTTTCAACGATTCACAAAATTCGACAACGACGGCAATGGCCACGACGAATACAACAATAACAACAACAACAACTACGACGACTACTTCCTGTGTGACAGCATCACCAACTAGCGTGATAGTTCCACGTTTGGCTATTCAACGCGATCAAAACTCTCCTTCGTCCGCATTTTCAGCTATCATCAAACACACTGGCAGTGGTGTTAATGAAACTGACGCTTCACCACCTGCCAAACGTATTTTCAAAGAACAACTTCACGGGAAGTCGCAAGATAACAAAACAACTGAGATTGTTTCAAGCATGGTCATCAGAACCTCGGTTATATCACCCAATCCAGAACACTTGGGTAGATTCAATGACGCGAAAAAATCTTCCAATACCTTTGATTATACAGAGTCAACGAGAACTTCTGCTTTCTCGAGACCCACCACGATGACACTAAATTTAGCGATTGCGTGAAATTGAAACATAAGATCACACTGTTTTTTTCTGTTTTTTTTTCATCCTTCGTTACATCATTTATTTCTTTTTTGAAAATAATTTTTTGAAATGAAATTTGCGTTATATCGATTTCCGACACGTGAATGTGCTGATTTTTTTTCAAATAATTATCGAAAGGCATTACGTGTATATTTATACCGGGTATTGTCTAAAGTATCTTCCTAATTAGGGACCACGTAGAGAATAATCGTTACTAATATTATAACATTCTAGACATTATACTCGTATATTTAAATGGCGTGCTTCCTTTTTTTTTCTTTTATTCGATTAATCGTGCCACGAAGCCTATATACAAGGAGAACGATCGCAGTTTTATTAATGGATCAGATCAAAAAACAAAAAACATCAAAGAGAACTATTGGTTTCATTTGTTTCTTTATAAAATCACACGTACTTAAATCTGAACTTATGAACACCAGCGCCGCTCTCGTGGAGAATTATCGTACTCGGTATTTCATTATTTTCAACAACACAAATTCGACTAAAACGCATATTTCGATTGTCCTGCTTGTATAAAGCTTCGTTGATCGTGCCTTCAAAATTAAATCTTTCTTCTCTCTTTTTTTTATTTTTTATTATTATTATTATTATATTTCATCGTCAGGACTGTGACAGAAATTTTCCCCAAAATACCACGACGCGTCATTATTATATTACGAATCCTAATCGAATTAAAGTGCCATTGAGATACAATTATGTTTAGAATTAAAATTCATCGATAAAATTTGTTCACGTGCTCTTCAAGGCAGCTGCTAAAAAGGTGCCTCGGATTGTATATAATTGTACGAGAGTACTTAGTCAATAAGTTATACAAACAAACAAACAAAAACATTGGCGAAATCATAGTGATATTAGATCTGTATAATAGTATTTACCAATTGCCTTAAATTAGGATAACATGCGATCGAATATTTGATAAATTCGAATAAAAGGAATTTCTCATTAGATTTTTAGTCCGGATTAAAGTAATTATTTAAAATAAGTGTTACATTATCTGATAACAATTTTTAATAAGAAATCGTGAAAGTAATCGTAGAATGTTTAAACATGAATTTAAATAAGATACTTTATATCATATTATTTACTTATAATATATCTCGAATGTGTATTCTATCTGTGATTCAAAAAAAATTGTATAGAGATAAAGCTTGTATGTGTGTGTAAGTATGATTAATCTAACAAGGAGAACTTACGGTTGTACCCTCACTGATTTTAACAAGCTTTGGTATATTAGTAGTATACCTTTAGAGTGTTAACGTGCTAAAGTATTTTATCAAAATGCGAAGCCAATTTTTAGAAAAATGCATTTGAAGTTTTGATTTTTTTGTATACATATTTATATTTTCTTAAATGCGACTGTTTATCAAGTGGTGCGGTAGCGTACGTAGTAGCGTGCTCGCTTCTCGTTCTGCTGGTCAGTGGTTCGATCCTCCATCGGGGAAGTTTTTTTAAATATGCTTTTTCTAATTGTTTTTAAATTGTTTTGTCATAAATCCTAATTTTTAAATATATACAATAAAGAGAAAATTATTTATTGCGAAAAAATTAGGAATACATACAAAAAAATAATTAGAAATGCATAAAAAACAATCAAAACCTAAAAGCTTTTTCTCAAAATGGGCTTCGCGTTAGGATGAAATACTTTATCACGATAACATCCTACTAGTATACTACTAATAATATACAAAGCTCGCTAAAATTCGTGAGGGAACAACCGTAAAGTCTTCTTGTAAGTATGATAATTAAGAATTTTATTTTCATTTGTTTCATCCGTTACCGATAGTTGGTAAGGATCTGAGTGTGAACTAGTCGAGTCCGTTTTGCTACAACGAGCGTAACCCTTTGCGTCGTTAAAAATTATTTATGCAAGTTCTTTTATAATAATTCTCTCTTGCAACAATTTATTTTTCATTGAACGATGAGATGTTGAAAAATATAAAACAAGAAAAAGAAAAAAAGAAAGAATATCATTATAGGTCGATAAAGAGTTGGAATTTGCCACGAGTGAGGTGGTTACCATGAGAACTCGAGTGGCAACGGTTATTAATAAACAACAAAATATATAATATTATTAATATTTTAGTCAAAAAAAAAAAAAAGATAAAAATATCTTATTATAAGATAATTTTATTTTCTCTTTTTAGATCGTGTTAAAATTATCAATTGTGTTATAGAATATATTTAATTGAATTGCAATCATCGATGATCGTAGAAGGATACGCTTCCTTCCTTTTCTATTTTTCTTTCTTTTTTTTTTGTTTAACATTATTGATTGTAATTGATTTAACTCGAAACATTGTAAATAGCATTCCCAATTTTGTCGTATTAAAAAATTAGAAGAAGGTGATTACGTAGTAGGTGATTAATTAAAGACAGTTCGATAAGCTGTTTATTGTAAATAATTGTACGTGCCATTTGTAGTACCAGAGTGCCTTATGCGAATATTTTACTCACTTTTTGTACGAATTGTGAAAGTATTTGTCCATCGCAATAAGAAATATACATATATATGTATGTATGTATGCATATAAGTATACATAACGCATCTATTATCTTTTACATATTTTTATTATCTATCTTTTCTTTAAATAAATAACATTAAATCATTCAGAACGAGATTGAAATTGTTAAAAAGGGAAAGTAGTTTATGTCAATCATTTTTTTTTGCTTTTCTTTTTATTATTCACCGAGATTCCTATTATCGGATTGATGAACCGTACGATCGTTAGTGATGCATCGAACTTAAATAAACAGCTAGTCTCGCTGTATTTATTAAATGAATTGACACTCAATAATTAGGACAAACGAAGAAGAAATCATTTCGATCGATAATTAAGTATGACGATCGTTCTCAAACGTTTTCTCTTATTCACAACATCTTATTTAGTAATACAGAGTTCGATTCATGTCAATGAAAATAAATAAAATTGATACAGTTAATATTTTTTTTTACTCTTTTTTTTTTAAGAATCATAACTTTTATTTAAATAATGATATAGGATTAAAAAAATAGAAAAGAAAATAAATATCGAAATAATTGCATAAATTAAATACAAAAAAAAACAAAATGGCCTTTCCATTCTTTGTGTTTCTGCATGTATTTACAAACGTAATTAGAAAGAATTATATTATGTGTTCAAAAATTTAAATTAATTATATAAATTTTTACAGAAAAATAATGATGGTAACAGCAACAAAAATATATATTTGAATTTTAATAAATATGAATAATATTAATGTGTATAAAATATCATTTAATGAATAATGCATCTGATAATATCAATATTTATTGGTCTTCTTCCTAAAAGTATATCTTACAATTAGTCGTTGCAGAAAAAAAACACATAATTCACGTTATAAGTTTAGGTAACAAGATCTGTCGTGAAGCTGTGAATGAGTATATAAAGATAACGAAACAACTGCTCGCAATATACGTCTTCTTCTAAGAATTTATGCCTATCAGTTCGTGAAAGAAAAAAAGAAAAAAAAGAAAAAAAAACAGACATCGTAACTAGAAAGAATTAATTTAATATTATGTGTTAAAATCTGTAATTCAATTTTTATATATAAAATAATGTTTTTAATGTTATTCGTGTGTTCCAAATTCAAATTAATTATTTAAATCTTTATAGAAAAATAATGACCAATGATTTTAGAGAAAAAAAAAACATCAAATCTTTTTTCTTCTTCTCCCCTTAACAAGAAGCTAATTCGAAAAGAAAAGAAAAAATTTGCAATTCGTTTAAGTTGTTGTCGAATTTCTTCTGAATTGATTTTACACATTGATTTAAACATTGTGAAATGAAATATATAATAGTACGAGAATGGTAACCCGTTAAAGAGGAAGTGGGAAAAGAATAAGAAGAGGAGAAGGAGTGAACAGAGTGGGGAGTTAAAGAACTTGCCAGCAAAGAAGAAGAAGAAGAAGAAGAAGAAGATCCTCTTAACGTAGAAGTTTAACAGTAGAAGTGTCTTGAAGAAGAAGCCCAAATCATGCGGCCGATTCTCTTTATACTGATCTGCCTCATAAATACAGTTTTATCTTATTATTCGGTAAGTTAATTATTATTAATATAATCCTATATTACATTCGCGTTTCTTTTATATTTTCTTTCAACAAAATATAATTATAAAAATTGTGTTTATCTTTTTTTTTTGTAATAAAAGATGTTTAAAAATTACTTTACGCGCTAAAGGGCAGTATACATTAACGATAAATTTGATCAGATTTCAACTTGTTGAGAAAGAGAGAGAGAGAGAGAGAGAGTGTATTACCTTACATTATATTCTTACGAGTTAGCATAAAAATATTGTAACGTAGTTATAACAAACGATACGAAATCAAATAGACGTAACGTAGAATAAATCATTTTACTTATGATCCTATTACTATACTTATTATTATTCTTTCTTTTTGTTTCGTCTTACGAATGAAAATATTTTACTGTGTGTGTGTGAGTGTGTGTGATTTTTCATATAAATAAGTATAGCGATAAAATTTGTTATTAATCTTGAATAATAACATTTAATTCTAATAAGAACAAACGTTCGTATCAATAGTTTAATTTGTTTATAATCTTAATACGATTATATAGTTTCGAGTTAAGAGACAGGTTACTAGCACGGATCACAATTCTGATTCATGTGACTATAAAATGTTTCTATATAAGAGATTTGAAGATCAGAGTTCACTCAAGAGATAAACTTAACCGATATGAAATTTACTTGGCCTGCTCCCGATTTGTCTATCCCGCCTTTTTTTAGACCTACTTTCTTCCCATATAGAAAATTATTGTTAGAAATATAAGATATGATAAAATTGTGAAAGTTCCAGAGTCTAAGATCAAATGTTTAATATTTAATAAGATCTTGACTAACATTTTTTAACGTAATATAACAAATTTTTCATTTGATATTGATGATAAATTTGATACTTCATTTTCTTGACAGGAAAAAACTCGTTTTGATCGTTCAATTAATAACAAGTTAGGTGAACCACTCAACGACAAACAATGGACTTTCACTGATGATCAAACGGTAAATTGATCAATTCAATCTCTTTCTTTATTTTATCTCGTAATAGTTATTTATAATGATAGATTATTATTAATGGTTATGTTCGTTCATTTAACAGTTATTCATTGCTTATAAAGATAGAAAAGAAAATGTATGTTATTTGGAGAAATTGAAAGAGGATAACGTAAAAAAACATAATCGAAATGATGTCAGAACAAAACGTCGGGAGAACAAATATTCCACGGTACTTTATGTTCCGAATGAAACATTAACAAAGCTCGAGGTAAAAAAATCAATTGAATAGTCCTAATCAAGAAGCATTATTTTCAAAATCTCAATCATGTTTCTCTTTAATCAGGCATGGCGAGAAGCAGGTGGTCGTATAGTAGATTTTTGTCAAGGACGTAATATTTATCTCCTTCAAAAAACTAAACCAATCGCAAGAAACGTTTTGGATCCGTTCTTGAATGAAATACCGATCGATGAAAATGATATATCGTCCAAAAGAATAGCTGATATTGTATTAACGCCGCTCATCAATCGTGCCAAGAGAGAAATTCAATTGGAAAATCGAAAAAGATTGAACGAGGATTTTCAGAAAATTCGTTCCCGTCGTCAAACGTTGCAACTTCGTGGAAGATTTCGAGGACAAACGCAATCGCAATATTTGCATCTTGGTAAAGATGGCCAAACTGAAGGCAAAGCCGAAGCGGAAGCAACGCAACAATCATCTCGAGCAATTGTCGGTACGCATTTCATCATTTCTATCATATTTTGTTAACTTAAAATGTCTCGTTGTTATTTCAAATGAAATATTTTAGCTGGTAATAACGGTATGGGACAAGCACAAAGTATGTCTTCTAGCGGAAGTGGATGCGAAGATTGTCCAGGATATCAACCAGATTATGCTGTTCATGTAGACCAAATTCCAGGTAAATTACAGGTTCAAGAATTACCAAAGGATAGACAATATATTACCCGACCTGGAGTTGGAGCACCAGGAAAAATGATAGCAGGAGATTATTCTGGAAGTATAATACCTGGCAGTGGACCAACGGGAGGTACTGAACAATATCCAGGAGCTATGGTTCCTGGAACAATGAGACCAACTTATCCAGGAGGAATGAAACCAGGAACTGGAACGTATCCTACTGGACCGGTTGGACCGGGAAGCGTAATACGTGGACAATATCCTAGCGGTATTATACCAGGTGTAACTTATCCAGGTGCATTTGTGCCGGGAGGAGTTCCTACTTATCCTGGAGGCGTCATACCAGGAACAACAGGAGGTGGTAGACCATATCCTGGTGGCACAGTACCGGGAATTGGTGTAAGGTATCCTAGTGGTGTAGGACCTGGAACGCTACCAACTGGAG